TAAAGTATCCAATGAATCGCAACTACCTATTACTAAATTACTTAGTCTTCCAAGCCGAATTCGTTCAGCATTGGATAATGAACATGAATCTATTAACATAGGAAGGTCTAATTCCATTCCAAGACGACAAATAGCATCTCTTCCAAAAGAGCACACCAAGGGTGTGAATTCTTTATTATGGTGTGGCTCCTTTGGTGAGCAATTAGTTTAAAATGTGTTAAACATATTTGCCGATGAAGGTATATTTTATGTTAATAAGCTTTAAATAATCAAGGACAGGTATTGGCTTCCGCATCTATGGATTGCACGGTCAGAATTTGGGATATTTTTAGATCAAGGAAGTGTGTTCGAGTTATCAAACATGATGGTAATAGTATTCAACATATGCTTAATTATATAATGCAAACATATAGTATAATTTTATTAATAATAGGTGCTGTAAAGGATATTCGGTGGAATAATAACTTTAATAATATACTTTCTGGTGGATATGATAAAGTCGCAAAATTATCTGATATTGAAACCGGAACCACTATACAGGTGGGATAATTCATTTCATTTATATGTTTAAATTATGAATATACTATGCTATAATAATATTAGAATTAAATAATTAGACATTCTCTCATCCACAAATTGTTACTGCCCTTCGTTATCACCCTACACAACCGAATATTTTCGTATCAGGAATGATACAAGACGGAATACGATCTTGGGATTTGCGTACAAATAAAGTCATTAAGGAATCTAGAAAATTTATGGGCAGCGTTAATGACATTGAATTTTTCCCCAATGGAAATAATATTCTTACTTGTTCTGACTACGTGGTCAGAAATGCGTCTGATAAAAATATTATGGTTTGGGAAATTGACTCTGTAATTGTCACATATTATATCTTGAATTTGTGAATTATTGGTATTTCAACTTACGTCTTTTTTAAAAAAACAGATGACAACAATCTCTAATCAAATATATCAAGAAGCATTTTCTTGTACTGCTCTTCGATTCCACCCTTTTCGTAAACATTTTGTTGCTCAATCTAATGGAAATTATATCGCCATTTTTGGTGGTGAAAAACCATGGAAATTAGATAAAAGAAAGGTAATCTTGACTTAAAAACTTTTTATAAATTAATTTAGTTTCATGATCAAACTTTTATAAATTAAATTTTTCATCAATAACAGCGATTTGAAGGCCATCTTGTGAACGGTCATCCTATTCGCTGTAACTTTTCACCAGAACCTGACCAAGGCAGATTTTTAGCTTCAGGTGATGCAAATGGTAGTATATTTTTTTATGAATGGCCAACGTCAAAAATTGTAAAAACGATAGAAGATGCACATTTGGGAGCTTGTATTGATGTATGTTGGCATCCTTTGTTGAATGGGGTTGTTGCAAGCTGCGGTTGGGATGGGAAAGTAGCACTATGGGGTGTTAATACATTCTCATTATAGCTATATTATCTGAGAGATAAAGTAATATTTAAACTAGATTTGGTTATACTGTATATAATATACTAATATTTTTAGTCATAAAGTGCATATAGCTTAGTTACGATAAAAGTTGATGTAAAATGATATATTCAAACACTATTACATAACTTAGTTACAATAGAAGTTGATAAGACTTAAAACCGAATTTATTTTTTTACAGTATAGAAATATTTATAAAATCTATAATACAGCAATAATTAAATCGGAATGTTTACCTTTTCTAATAGCATTACATATCCCTTTTGACATCAATTCATACAAAAGAACATTGTAAGTTAAATTGTAATATCTCATGATTAGTGATCCGATTTAGATGATTTTGGTACCATTCGAATCACCTCATCGAGAAGATTCGAATGGTATCAAAATCATTCAAATTGGATTACCAGATCACGAGATATTACGATTTGATTAATTTAAATTACAACGTCCTTTTGTACGAATTTGGTGCCAAAAGCGATAACAATATTATAAACAAACTTTTATTTTCTACAATATGATATATCACACAATATTGTAAACCCTTTATTTTCTGTAAACATAACAGGATACTTGGTTTCAGCTACAAAATTAGCCTACTCGTCCTAGTCACCACGCAGTGGTGTATCCTATGACTAAGGTTTATAACTGCCCAAAACTGTATCCTATAAAGAACGTATGCATCGAAGTTACTTTTCTTAGAAAACAGTATGGCCATTATAACCACCCCACGAACGGTTCACCCTAAACAATACAAATGCCTGTTAGAAAGGCAAATATAGCCCACCGAAGGCCAGGAGAATCCCTCCTCGAATGAACGGTTTGGGAACAACAATGAAGACTCATTTTAACGTCTGGGTTTGACAAAAAAAATCTGATAA